GTGTGTGTGTGTGTGTGAGATTCTGCATGAGAGAGAGAGAACGTGAGAGAGATTGAGAACAGGTGGGCGTGTTTTCCTTTGGCCTTTCTTGTGCATTGCTGTCTCAATAAGCATTCTGCTCTTTCATTACTCTTCCACGTCTGCGAATTTCTCTATTTCCATTATTCTCTTGTTGCTGTTATTGTTGTGCCCACCCTCTACACTCCTGAAGAATAATAGCTTTGATACAGGCAGTACGGCGTGCAGGGTAGAGCATCCCCATTCTGTCCTGATGGAATCTGTCTGTAACTTTTCTTCCTCAAAACATAACCTTTTTCTTACTGGGGAATTAGAATGATTCCCAGCCCACCTTTCAGTCTTGACGACTTGATATGTCGAGTTTTGGACCCGCGGGTGTCACACTTGTGATGTAATGAAATGAGTTTTTCTGATATTGCAATATAAGAGAATCTCTGTGCAATATATAACCACTTCTGGTGGCTTAATGTTTGTTTGCTTGTGACCAAAATAATGGAAACACCTAATCATGAGTACACCAAGCGCATTTAAAAACAGCTCCAATCCTCTTTGGGTAGATACACAGGCAATTATCCTTGAGCTCATTGCTCAATAAATAATTCTTATAAATAATGTCCATTAAAAAAAAGGTAAAGGGATGTTCAGATCTTGTTTTTATAAAGGCCAAGTTATATGTCACTTATTTATGACACACCTTAAAACTGTTTCACCTTCCAGTCGACAACACATGCAGCACCTTGGACTTCAAGGTGCTATTAAGATTCCTTACTCATAATAAATGCATGTTGACTGTCCATGCTATTAAATATTGACCATTACATTTAACAGTTACCAGAAGACACAAGGATTTGAAGCCATCCTTAAGCTTCCCCCAAACAAGAACTTAAATAGTGAAAAGTCTAACATAAATTGTTCGACTGGTCTAGGTTTTATTCTGTCTGCGTGTTTGTGCACTGGCCTTGGATACAAGTGGTTTTTAAATGAAAGCACTGCCAAATACCAGCTTTGTTAGTTCCCGATGTGCAATTTTGTTTGTTTTGAGACACTGGCACAGAGACGCCGATTCAATTCTGCGATTATTACTGGGGTTGTTGTTTTGTACAGTGCAGCTTGTAAGTATTGGGACAGTGACATATTTTTTGTTGTTGTTTTGGCTTTTCCAACTCCAACAAATGGTCTTGGAATGAAACAATAACTGGGATTAAAGTGCTGACTTTCACCTTTAAGGCTGTTTGAGAGTATTTTCTTTCATATTGTTCACCTCCTGGGTCATAGTCCAATTTTTGATCTGGAATGTGATTGTCCAAATGTTTTATGTTTCAGCTATTCTGTCTCTCCCTCATTGAGAGTAACAGCTTGTGGCCACTGTTCCCTTTATCACTTACGATACTGTAATATTGCAGTTTTTCTGACTGATGCACCTGTAATTTGGCACTGACTGTTCATCTCTTTAGAACTCCGTTACCTCCTGTGTGCAGCTTTGAAAACTCATAAGCAGAGTCGGTCAAACGTGTATTAAAGCTGACACGCGCTATCTGACATTTTAGATAAAATGTGCCTGCCTGTGTAGCTGCCCTTATAACTGTGACTTCTGCGTGATGTAGCCATTATTGTGTCCAAACCAAAGCAGTGACACTGCTGTGGCTGCGTGTCATGTCCAAACTGCTGCTGGTGTGTACTAATAGCCTTTATCAGCTGGAGTCTGGAGCAACACCAACCTCAACCTGCTGTCTGCTGCTGCTACCCGACACTGTTGCAGCGCTGGATCCTCTGACCTTCACACACACACACACA